CGAGCACTGTCCAGAGTACATCCGTTTAGCCTGTGAACTAGCCTATCCTCGGTTTCGGTAGGTGTATACGTCCCCAAGAGGCGCTCATCTGCGTGGCACGACGCTTGAAAATCAGCCGAAGGATATATCAGTTGCAATAGTTCACATGTACGACAGACCACACTTCAACGTTAATCTGCTTCTCACAGTAACACTATAATATTCCCGAAAACAAGTTCATACAGTGGTGTAGGACTGCAGTTATCTGGATGTGGTCTGTCGTACATGTGAACTATTGCAACTGATATATCCTTCGGCTGATTTTCAAGCGTCGAGCCACGCAGATGAGCGCCTCTTGGGGACGTATACACCTACCGAACGTTGATTTGTGACCATCTAGCGACCGTAAGACACAGCTGCAATATGTATCCACGGCCCACTGTGACAACATGTAAAAGCTTCCCAGGAAGGTGGGAAATCAATATCTTCTTTTGTCCGCACTAAACATTTCGTTGCCTCCAGTAACAGCCTGTGTTCGATACTTCGGATCGAAGTTGCGTGTTTTGCATCCAGGTTCGCTGGTGGGTTTCGGTGGTGCAAGAATGTCAGCACAAGTACGCGACGATTCGACACGATTGCACGGCCGAGGATAGGCTAGTTCACAGGCTAAACGGATGTACTCTGGACAGTGCTCGCCACTTTCATAATGGAGGCCGGCCGTAATATGTGTTAGGTGCAGCAACCTGAGAGGTCTGCTTGGGATAGGTCACGCAGTTGTAATGAGCCACACCTGTATTCACCGCTCCAGCTTCTTTGGGTGCATCGCTACAGTCGGTAAACACAGGAAAGGAACATAACAATGCATCTGCACGCTCTATATGAATTCGTGCTCTGTAGTCTCAGGGTGGGTCAAGGCACAAAGGTACACATTTTTTTCAATAGAAACAGGGTTGCCGGCGTTGTCGGCGTTACCTCGCAACTTTTCACCGGAGAGCACTGCTAACAGAGTATGAATAAGTCGATCCATCAGTGCTCTTAAAGAGCACTGCATGGAGCACAGTATACGTGATTAATTGATTCACTCGTTCTGCTGAGCAACAGGGATCTAGGATATACGCCATGCAGAAGACCACCAGTTTGGATGTAGCGTTCCATGGTGAAAAAGACTGTGAAGGAAGGAGATGTTGGAAAGCGACATAAACGGGTGCTGTTGAGGAGATGACCACGAAAGTCACTTTCCAGTGAAATGGCGTCTTCCATCGTGGCGTTACTAACGCTGTGTTCGCTGTGGAGGAAGACCTTTGTATTCTGTGCTATTCAGTTTTTGTACTGCACCAGTAGGCTACTAGTTGGACCATGGGAACCCGTCGTTATGCAGTGGAATTCAACCTACATGAGTAGCACACATGCTGCATTCATTTTTCGTCGACGTGAGTGATGCTCCTCGGTGTCATAGAGAAGGACAGACGCATATAGGAGCAATGCATAGTGCTCACAAAGAGACTTCAAAGCTCTCACTCCAGAGCCTCTCACCGCAATCTAAAACACAATTCGTCTCTCCCATCACGGTGACATCTCTCTCTTTTCGTCCAATCACACACAACTCACCAAGTCCTCTAGAGGACTTCAACCTTCACAGTTGCTTAGAATGAGAACATACTACATGACAAAGAAGATCCTTAAATTTATCACATGAGATACTACTCATGAGTGGATAAAAGAACTGGCATGTTAAAAAAACAACAAACCAATGTCAAGTCTGACACACTCTTGAACTGCATGTAATCACTTAGTTTAAAAGGTGGCAGATGTCTTCATTTGCAAATCACAATCCGGATACTTTTAAGCGATATTGTGGTCTACACGCCAAAGAAACTGCACAACAAGTTTGACCCCAATGAATTCAAGTACGATGGCAATTACGACACGGATAAGATCAAGAGTTTCCTCATTCACGATACTGTTGGAATGGTTGGTATTCGTACGATGGGTAATCTGTTCCAATTCGAGCAGAAGCCTCTTGTGATCGTTTACTACAATGTGGATTATCTGAAGGACCCCAAAGGTGCGCATTCGTTTGGACTACTTGTAGTGAGACGTTTAATCATTGAACTGTTCGAAGTGGAGCGTTTTAGGGTCGAACTACTGGCGTAATCGCGTGCTGAAGGTAGCGCAGGACTACAAGAGGAAAGTTCATTTCGCTGTGTCAAATAAGGAGGAGTTCTCATCCGAAGTTGATCAGAATGGTCTTGCTGAGCGTAAGGACTCGGATAAACCAATCGTGGCGGCTATTACAAATGAAGGCAAATTCCCTATGGATGATGAGTTCAGGTATGATTTCTAGAATTCCCAGGCAGTTGATATATTCTTATAATTCCTAAGCTTGGTAAATTCATGTGATTGATTTTTCAGCGTGGAGAATCTCAAGAAGTTTGTCGAGGACCTATTAGCTGGTAATATGGATCCATACATGAAGTCAGAACCTATTCCTGAGGATAACGATAAACCAGTCAAGGTTGTTTAAGCTCTTGCATTGATGAGCAAGTGATGTATTCATGAAATTATGTGTGAAATTTAGGTTGCTGTTGGCAGAAACTTCAAGGAATTGGTGATGGATGCCGATAAGGATGTCCTTATTGAGTTCTATGCACCGTGGTGCGGTCACTGTAAGGCACTTGCACCCAAATATGAAGAGCTCGCCAAAACGGTAAATTCCTTAAAGCCAAGTCGGAACTGCTGCCTTCTGAGCCTATTTGTTTTCAGTTGGAGAAGGAAGACGTTCTGATCGTAAAGCTCGACGCGACAGCAAACGATGTACCACCTCTCTTTGAAGTGCGAGGGTAAGCTTGAAAGTTTTTCCCAAAGGCAGCGGCCACGATTGCTGAGGCGGGCGGTTGTCGCCAACGTCATTGGTGGAAGGACTACGAGAGGCCGTTCCACAATGACGTTGACAACAACCTCTCGTCCACAACCATCGTGCTCACTGCCTTTAAAGGTATAAGGGAAGGGAATGCAAAAACCTCATGACATTATTGCAGATTCCCAACCATCTACTGGTTACCGAAGAACAGCAAGGATTCTCCAGTGCCTTACAATGGTGGCCGTGAAGTGAAGGACTTCATTTCATTCATCGCCAAGCATTCCACTGATGGTCTCAAGGGCTATTCACGTGACGGAAAGAAGAAGAAGACCGAGTTGTAGGCATGGCACCGTGGCAATTGCTTGTTCATCCTCATCATCTATTGCTGGGCGTCCCAGTGTGGACAGCAAACTTGACTCAATGCCCACT